TACTTTTTCTATAGGCTGGAATGGACTTCCCTTGTGCTTCAAGGATCGCATCCTTGAGGAGCAACCACTCATTGTAGACTCCCCTCTCTGTCAGATTATGACCTCACAGGGCCTCCTGAGCTTGTGAAAGTCAGCTTTCCTAAAGTCGAGGACTTCTGCATTGCTGACTGACTTTCTAGCTTTGCAGTGGATAAAGGAAGTGATCAACTCATGGTCACTGTCTCCCAGCTTCCCTTTGATACTTAGGATGCTCACTAGATCATCCCCTTTGACCAATACCAGGACCAGCAGCACCTTGCCTCTTGTCGGCCTGTAGACTTCTTGGGACAAATAGAACTCATCAGTGCATGCAAGGAAACATTGAGACTGATCGGATTTGGCTGAGTGCTCTTCCCATGAGATGTTAAGATAGTTTAAGTCACCCATGACAACCATGCACCAAGAGCATGCAGCCTCAACCAGTTCCATAGCAAATTTGTGGTCAAGTTCTTGCTCCTGATTAGGAGGTCTGTAGTAAACTCTTACCATTAGATCTCTTTCACCATCATCCCGGCTCTTGCTAAGGACCTCCTCCATTCCGGAATTGACACTGACTACCAAATAGCTGATGACAGTGTCTTCTTTGTGCACACTGAAGAAAACCTCCCCAGACCACACTGAATCTCTTTGCAAAAGAATACAGAACTTGGGGTGCATCTGTCAACATTGAGAAGACTAAAGTGGTCTATCAGTCTGCTTTGGGCCATGAATATGACCATGCCCTCACCCCCCTCAAATTACCTGGAGGTAGTTGAGCACTCCCTTAGCCAGGTAGCCACCTCTCTCAAAGAGTGAACATTGATTAGGAGATTCAGCACATTATCTGGTGCACACCTCCTTTGAGAAATTGGCTTGGTGTGTTTTTATTGATCATGATCTCTGGAGAGAGACTTGGATCCAGGTCAACAATGCAATTGTCATCCTCTCTATGGATGTGAAACATTGTTGACCTACTGTTTACATCTCAAGAACCTGGAGAGAAATCACTAATGGTGCCTCTGGAAAATCTTCTGCATCAAATGGGAAGACTGCCACACAAACGCCATCATCCTCCCTGAAGCCTATGGTACCAGCATTGAGTCAATGATTGTCAAGCACCAACTTCACTGGACCTGACATTGTGTGTGCATATGGCAGCTAGAGAAAACAGTACAAGAACACCACAAGAAGGCATACCTCAAGAAAACAGATGCTAATATGAAGACCTGGGAGGAGTTGGTTGCTAGCTGACTTCAGTGCTGCAACCTTAACCAAATAGCAGCCCACTTCAGTGCAAAGCATCTTGCCCTTAAAGCACAGAAGAGAGAGCAGAGGAAGGAAGAGGAGAGGAATCCCAGCCTGCAGTCTACTCTCCCCTGCAGAAAAACCTGCAACTTCTGCCAACAGATCTGTGGCTCAAGGATTGGGCTTGTAAGTCACCTCAAGACCTATCAATGAACCAAGGTAGAGATCATCCTTGAATTGGGGAACTGCCAACAACAATGTTGCGTGTTTGTGTGATACGTGATGGCAACACTCAAGTAGTAAACTGTATAGATTTGCCTCACTTAAGCACCACGCTGTCCATTTTCACTGACATTTTTTTCAAATATTGCAAACACCTAAGGAACTGTACATAGCTGTACATAGCAACCTTTTTAAAAAACCATACTAGAGACCTGTTTCTTTTCCTCTCCACCTTGAAAAAAAATTGTAATCTCTCTCCCTCTTTTCCCTTTCCAACTACCCAATTATGTTTTTGAGTCTGAAGAGTAGATATTTGGAATGTTTTTGATCAGGGAAGGGGACAATCTCAGTTTCCAAATGGGACTCCAAACATTTGCGTCTAACCCTGGTGGGAGTGGAATTAATGGAATCTAGAAAGAGAGACTGGTGTTGAAAAATTCTCAGTCATTTTAAAATGCACTTATTTGGGGTATTTTAATCCAAGATCTATACAGCTATGCCACTTAAGGAACACAGTTCTTTTCACACTTTATCCTATAATTTGAAGGAATGGAAAGGAGAACATGAGCAAACTCCCAATAAGCAATTCTTTTAAAATTTGTCCTAAATAGAATGCCATATCCAGTACCATTCCACTCTTATAGTGCAGTATAGAATTTCCACAGGCAGAGACTCCCTATGCCTGAGGAAGGATGATTGCACCTGAAAGCTTGCTAAGAACTTTTTTTCCCCAACTACTCAGTTGGTCTAATAAAAGATATCACATCTACTCAAAGAACCTTGACTGCCACAGGAATTCCATGTATTTTCTCTAAGCAAAATCTACTTTCTTGTGGCTCCATCTATTCCTAATTTTAGTCTGTTGGTAAATTTATATTATAAAGATTTATTTTTAAAAAGTGGGTTTATTTATTTATTTATTTTATAATTCTGAACCTTCTTACTTCCAACTTAAAAAGAGATGTTAATTTTAGACTATATTTTATTAGATCCACTTAGAAATGGACTGTGGGTTAAGTCATTTTTTCTTTCCTTCCAGCATAGAATGAAAAGTTTAACTACTGACTCAACAAATACAGCTGAATGAAACATCCAGCTCCAACCTCACATTGCCCCTCTCAGCTTAGCACTGTAGAAGGGAAGGGAGGTCTGCTCTAGCACCCCTCCTCCCCTCCGCCCCCCCCAGCTTCTAGCCTGAGCTACTGCAGGCACGTGCCTGCATTTCTGGGATGTCTGTGCAGTTACAAATTGATTCAACCTAGCCAGGTTAGATTAACCTACAAAGATTGCATCAATTCAGGCTTAGGCTTTTTGAATGTTTGTCCCTAGCCCAAATAAGCAGTAGCTTATCAGTTGTTTCTATATGGTACTACACAACCATACTGTTTGCAGTAAGTTAAGGGACCTTGCATCATTTTTGTATCTGTTCTAACCAACATACACACTGATTCTGCACTTCCAGAGTACCAGTAAGTTAAATAGCAGGCTGGGCCCACAACGATGTTGCTGTCTTTGACTTGCTCTGATTGTTTTATAAGAGGTATAAGAATTCATCTCTTATTAGCATTTACTGAGAGGTTAAAAGTATTAAGAGCTCAACCCATCTTCCTTAAATAACAATGGGGATTTTAATGAGATGACTCGTGTAAACAAAACTAATATGATTACTTGATAGCCAATTACGCTTCCAGATAAGGAACAGAAATAAAAGGAATTCTTCAGCAGTTGCTGAAGTGCAAAGAGCTCTTGACTGAAACAAGACTGGAATATGGGAACACCATACAACAATTTAAATCATGGGTGATAATTGAGATTTAATCTGTTTGGGAGGCTTAATCATCTGAATCACATAATGTCCCTACTAAGTTGTAAAGACAAGCATCCTGCTGATGGAGATGCTTCTCAAATTTATGTTAATAGCATACTTTATTCCCCAAAAGTAAGCAGAGTCCTGTTCTTGTGTTTCATAAATGACTAGAACAAGTTTTTCAATGGGCAAAAGAATTAATTTAAAAGCTTGAAAATCCTATGTTAACTAAAACCCATATCTTTCAATAGTATCTAGAAGCTGAATTCCTAATGATTTAATTTGGACTTCATGTGTATTTAGGCACTTAATACCTAGGCCTAAATTATTAAAAAGGCTCTAAATTTATCTATTTTTAGGGAATGGGGTGTGTTTTATGGGAGGAGGAAGAGTTTTTGTCTTTCCTTTGCCCACAACAAAAGCAGTGTAAGATCATGCAACCATCTTCCCATTTGAGACAATTTTCTCTGGAAATTCCAGCTGCTGCATGTATAACAATTTGATGTACAGCAGACAACCCATTTACTCAAGAAGATCACATGCTGTTGGGAAGTTGGGTCTTGAGCAGTTTTCTTCCAGTTCCAGAAACAAGGACCTTTTGCCACTTAAGCTAAAGGATGGCTCATTTCAAGTGATGATAATAGCACATTCCTTATCTTCTATGTTTGGCCAGTTGCTAGGACGAAATACCAGTTAGACAAACAGGCAATACAGTATATATACTTCTAATCATTAAAGATCATCCCAGGCCATTTGAAGTATGCTGAGCTTCACATCCAAAAATCTGGGTGACAGTTAAAATAAACCCATGTTTACAGGCAATAACAATGTAAGCTATGCAAAAAGAAAACCAGGACTATGCAATTTGTCCTTCAGCAACCAAACATGCACCTTTATTAACTAACTGAGATGACCTGTGGCTGATAGGTTCTATACTGTCTCCTATGTCTCTTATGTCTCTTTGTTCAGCTATTAATTTCACAATGCAGTGTCAGTGATCAGTCAAAGGGGCATTCAGACTGACAAATTCAGAACATTTCATCTGAGTATCTAAATTGTTCCTGCTTCCTCCTTTGTACCACAGTAGCGCTTACAATCCCCTAATGAGGTCAGAGCTGCTTTCTACAAGATACTGTCCATACTGAAAAGAACTACCTGTGCTTTTAGTATCTAAATAGACAAAAGTTAAGCAAGAGCAAATATTTTAACATTTTTACAGATAGGAAACTGAGGCAGAAAACACTTGACTGAGTTTCAGGAAGAATAAGTCTTGCTAGCTAGCATTAAGCATTCTGTTGTCCTAGAAAGGGAGAAGTAACATTTTAAGTGCTTTAAAAACAAACTCATGGAAGAACTAGTGAAAATGTATCAGTATGGTGCTTCTTTCAATCCTGAGCAATAGAGAATTGGTATGAAGATGGAATAGATAATCTAAAAAAACAGGCTATGATTTAATGTTCTGCTCAAAGAAAAAGGAAAGTAGATAATGAAGTCACTAAGTGAAAAAGGAAAGTGGTAACTTTCAAAAGCAAACAGAAGGGGAAAAACCTTGAAAAGCAACAAATGATGAAAGAAAACTACTCCTACAGCATAATTAAATTCAAAGATATGGAGGAAACACACCAATGCCTACAAAAGGCCTTCTGCACATTCCAGTGTCTGTCAGGATTTATGTACAGATAAGGAAGTTTTAAGGCATCATCCCAACATGACCTGTTTTTGTTTGCTTCAGATGTTCTTCATACTGCTGTGCACTATGCAAATCTCAACTCCAGACTGTAATATTCCTCCTTTACAGCAAAGCAAAGCGATTCAGAGCAGTTTACATCTTCTGGACAAAATAGGACAAGCATTTCCTCTGCAATGCAGACGTGAGCATGTACTCTTCAAGTTTCCTCACAACATTCTGAAGCTCAGACAGAAAGACAATGTCAAGGTGGCAGTTCAGGAAACGCTCCAAAGCATCTTCTACATGTTTAGCAAAAATTTAACCTTAGCTGCCTGGGATGGCAGATCCCTTGAAAGTTTCCAGAATGGACTTTATCAACAAATTGAGCAGCTAGAGGCATGCTCAATTAAGAAGATAAAAAAGAAGCCACAATATTTAAGGAATGTGGAAGCCAACAGACTGAAACTGAAAAAATACTTTCAAAGGATAGACAACTTTCTAAAAGGCAAGCAATATAGCCTGTGTTCCTGGGAGATCATCCGTGAGGAAGTGAGGAAATGTCTTCAACTTATTGAGAAAGGACTAGAAGGCTTAGAAAATAAGGTACAAATATTTTGATCTGAAATAATTAGGCTTAGAAACCTATGCAATTATGTATTTACATTGTGAACATACTTTTAGTTCAATTTCAGTGGATTTCTATTACTATCTATATGTTGCCAATTATTTAATGTTGCATATGTGTATTATTGAAAATGTAATATTTTATTTATATACAACAAAACCTTTCTTATTAAGCAAGTAATCCCATATTGGCCACAAAGTAATTGACAACATTTTTCACTGTCTATGACTGCAAAGGAAAGAACATTAATTTTTCAGCAAGTAGTATTATCTCATTACTTTCTTTTCTGAGAAAGTATACCACTAGAAATGGTCCCCACTTAATTCTTGTAAACTAAATCCTTTAATCACAAAAGAACCACCAAGTTATGACATTTTCCAGGAATCCTGTAAATGACTGATTTATTATGGATTAAAAAAATTAAATGACAGCATTTTTCTGCCACATTAATATTTTCAATTATCTGGCTTATTTCAAATAATTCATGATTCTTTCAAGATATGCTGTTTTCCAGAAATATGTCTGATTAATTTTCAATATCTGATTTTTTTAGGCAGTTCAAGTTATCCAGTAGCTATAACTGGAATAGCTATTGTGGAGTAAGTTATTCTGTAATACCTTCTTCATAGTAGTTTACTCTCTGGAAACACTTATTCTGGAATAACTCTCTCTTTCTGAGTTGGCTTTAATTACATTAAGCTCATGCTCCGGCCTTATTTTAAAATAGTGTCCTTAGGAAGATTGCCCTGAGGTCAGGTTAGACAGTTGCTCTTTTGTGTACCCTGGTAGTGTTCATCTGCACTGCCAAAATATCACATGTCACTGCCCACACTGTGTTTTAGTGTTATTAAAAGTTTTCTGCCTTTTACCCTTTGTTCACAAGAACAACCAGTGGGAGGATTTAGTCCTTGATATTTCAACATATTTTACAAAAACTTCTCGTGTGGTTAGAAAATTGCTAAAGTAACTGAATTCCTGACAAAACAAACAGCACCCCTCTTTTCTGACAAAAAAACAGCACCCCTCTTTTTCCCCCCAAGAAAAATAAATTACCTGGGTGAAATCATAGATCTATTGAAGTCAATGTCAAAATTTCCATCGAGTTCTGAGGGGTCAGGATTTTGCCCATTTACCCTAAGTCAGTTTCTGGTAGTTTCTCCCACTAACTTGGTGTATGGTAATTGGGGGAAAACACATCTTCAGTCATTCAAAACAAAGATACAAAACTGTAGTGGTAAAGGATCAATTTATGGAAGGGTTACTGATAACAATGAAGACAACAGTAATCCACAGTCAGCAATTCAGAACGCATGTGACACTGGTTTCTGCAGGATCTATCCATTAACTTTTTTTTTTACCTGATATCCAGTTGTGGATTCAAGCCAAAATCAAGAACCTGCTAAATGAACAAGATTCAAGAAGAGCAGATGTGAAACAGAAACATCCAAAATGCAAAAGAAGGCACCAGGACCTGAAATAATGGGAAAAAAAGACTGAAGGAACAAAATTAAGACAAAAGTTTCTATTTCTATTTTTCTTTTTTTGGATGAAACACTAGTAAAAAGGAATATTTATACAAATATCCTTTGTTTGTGTAACTAAGAAAACTTTTGAACATTAAAACTGGAAAAACATTTCAACCCAAAGGCAAGTCCTTGTTTCAGCTCTTTGTTTACTTTTTGCACTTCCTGAAAACTGTGCAATGAAAACGTAATTAGTCATTTTCATTTTCTGGTTCCCAAACCCTGGCACACTGACCCAGTGAAGTATGCTAAAATCTGAAGTACACCATTCCTATTGAGATTTGAAAGTTACATGGATTTTTTTTTCTGTTAATTTATTATAGGGATTCTTAGCTGGTGAAAAGGAACAAAAGGCTAGTACAGAGTTTAGTGCGCTAACAGAAGGCTAGTACAGTAATCAGTCCCAGACTCTCAAGGTAGCTTAGCATTGATTTCAGTTCATAACCACCAATTCCTATTTTCCGATCGCAATGTAATTTATGCTCCACTGCTGAATAAACCTATGGTTTAACTAGTTCCAATCAGGAACTCTGTAATACAGAAAATAGTACTATATTGGGCACTAGAGGGCAAAGTGAGATTATAGCTGACATGCTGAAGTGACATTAGTGTTTTTAAAGCAGTAGGAATTGCAGGAGATTATAGGTTTCCCGAAGAAACAGATGAAGCTGCTGATGACAACTGCTTCTAGTTAGACTATTTCTCTTCATAAAAATTCTATTATGGGGGGGAAAAACCCAAATGAGATTGTTGTAGTATTATTGACACAAAACAAAACAAAAAACCCTTGAAAAGAGCAACTGAAATGGAAAACAATAGCAAATCTCCAATTAGCATATTGTTTCAACTAATTTTAGCCAAACAAGCAGTATTATTATTAATGGTTGTAGTATTAACAACAGGATAATGCCTAGAAGATCCAGTTCTGAGCCAGGACACCCTTGATATGAAACAGTATAAAAACAAAAAACAAAAGACCCACAAAATAACGAGCTAAAATATTGCCCTGTTCTGCTCTAGTGCATGAAGGAATGGCAGAAGAAACTAGGAGGAAGCAGTTCCTTCTCCTCTTGCTGAAATATTTTGGTGCTTAGATTTAAAAATAAAAAATTCATTACCCTAATTTATGCTTTTTGCTACAATGACTCAGTTTGCCACAAAATCATCACTGGGGCCTCTGGAAGCTTATACTCTTCATACTTTAAAAAACCCCCCACATTAAATAATGATGATAAAATACAAGATTTAGCCCCAAACATTTTTGAGTGTGAATAAACAAAATGAGCACCTAGCCTCAAATGGAATTATACAGACCAAAAATTTTCTGCAAAACCTTTCAGCTTGGAATTGTTAATAGAGATATAATGATAACATAGACATTAAATGGCATACAATACAGATTTCAGTCAAAATCTACACAACTATTTCTAATATAAGGCTCTACCCTGAAACTTCTTGTGCACAGATGGAGTCCCGCATCTGTGGAAAGATGCACTAATGTCAACAGGATTTCATATGGATATAGCCTGTCTGCAAGGCAAGTAGTTAAATCATGGGGGCCTAAGACCTTGTTTTTCCCCCTTCTTTTTAACACAGGGAAACTTTCAGAATAGTTATAAAAGAACTGTGGGTACTCTGCTTAAAAATAATGGCACGAGAGGCCAGGGTTTCTTAGTAATTAGCCATTAATCTTCAGTAATGGCTTAGCAAAATGTTGACAGTCCTGCTCCCAAGCTTCAAATGTGCTGTTACTTCATACATGACTTTCAACCCTATAACAAGTCACGCATTTTACAGAAACCCCAAAGAGTGAGAGCAATGCGTCTACTTTGGTTTAGGTCAGGGCTGAATTAATGCATAGGCAAACTAGACATATACCTAGTGACCTGAGCTGCAGGGGACTTCCCTCCGCAGCAGTTGCGTGAATGGCCCTGTCCACCTCCCTTTCATTCTGTTCCCCTCCCCTCTGCTGGCCTTGCCACTGTGGCAGATGTTTCCTAAAAGCAGCTCCAAGACCCTGTCCCCACAGGCAGCAGTGCCAGGGTTGGGAGGGGGGTCTTGACCAGCCCAGGGTCCACGAGTTTATTTGCCTAGGGCCCTCTAATGGGTTAATCTGGCCCTGGTTTAGGTGCATCAATAAAAATGCCAATCAGGATCTTTTCCCACTATAGGACAAGCTTCAGAGTGTAAGTGAACATATTGTAGGTATAGATTAAAATAAAAATGGTAATTGGAGGCACTCTAGATATTCAGAGATAGTATATGAGAGGAAGGTCAAATCTGGAACTGCAAATACATCTTCCGGTCTAGTTTAATAGTTTCATAGTTGGTAGGGTCGGGAAGAGACCTGAGCAGATCATCAAGTCCAACCCCCTGCCATGGCAGGAAAGAGCGCTGGAGTGCCCCAGCAAGGTGTTCATCTAACCTCCTCTTAAAGAGCCCAGGGTAGGAGCCAGCACCACTTGCTTGGGGGTTGGCTCCAGATCCTAGCTGCTCTGACAGTGAAGTAGTGCCTCCTGATGTCTAGTCTGAATCTACCCTCTGCCAGCTTGTGACCATTATTTCTAGTCACACCTGGTAGTGCTCGGGGGAACAGGGACTCCCCCAATGCCTGCTGGTCCCCTCTGACTAGTTTGTAACAGGCCACTAGATCCCCCCTCAGCCTTCTCTTGTGGAGGCTGAACAGGTTCAGGTCCCTTAGCTTCTCCTCGTAGGGCCTGCCCTGCTGCCCCCTGATCATGCGGGTGGTCCTCCTCTGGATCCTCTCAATGCTGTCCACATCCCTCCTGAAGTGCAGCGCCCAGAACTGGACGCAGTACTCCAACTGCAGCCTGACCAGTGCTGCATAGAGGGGGAGGATCACCTCCTTGGACCTGCTCAAGATGCATCTGTGGTTCTGGTTATTTCAAGTTCTGGGTTATTTCAAGAGGGTAGGGAATCTTTTTAATGAGGAGAAGCTGCATACGGCTAAAAAAGAATCCAGGAATACTGTTGATGTTAAGTGTCATAAAATCATAAAAATTCTCTAAAAATTCTGTAATGTAATTGCAGACAAAGAGTTTCTAAATGTGGATACAGTGCAATAAATATGAACCAACCTGATTACAGGGGTACTATGGCATTTAGTGCTTTTATGAGAACTACTCAAACAGAATTATAGAAAAAAGTTTATTGGCCTTTGAAAGGATTTTGAAAAGAAGGGATATAATGACTGCCCCTTTAGAATGGTTCCACTGTGGAAACTCTAGTACACCAGCACTGCTTTACAAATTAGTCTAATGCTGGAGAAGACACAGCTCCCTTAACAGAACATTAACTCTCTATATGAGCATCAGGGTTTACTTCCACAAGGCATTGCAGGGTGGATTCCACTTTTTGTCTGAGTGTGATTTAAGACTTGAAATGGATTGAGTCCTAGATAGCTCAGAGATCTCTTTTCTTCCCGTGTATGACTGTGATTGCTGAGATCCTAAAAATCAAGTTCTCATCTAGTTTGTCTTAAGGTACAGGAAGGAAGAAAAGGAGCAGAATGTTCTTGGCTAAATAGGCTTCCACTCTGGAATTTATTTCCTACCTCATTTCACTACAGCCTCAGTGTGCTGACCTACAGAACATGCTGATTTGTTCTCTCATTTGCAAAGCTGATTGCCTAAAGGTAGGCTCCTCAATCCCTATTTAAATGCCTAAATAAAGTAGGCTTATTTTGAGTTCCAAATACACTCAGCCTTATAGCCATCATTTAAACCTGCAGGCACCCGTCACCCTTGAAAATCAGGCAAGTATTATTTAAATGCCTAAATAAGGGTTTTGAAATCCAGGACTGGAAATTTTTTATCCTTAGCTTCTTTTCTAATAAGAAGATAGCAAGTCTATGAGCAGTGGTGATAAAAAGGTGGATTCATTGTGTGATTTGGAGAGTTTGCTTATAAATTCTCAGGCAGTTGTTTTATTTAGCTGTCTTTGAACATAAATGCAGGTTATGTGATGAGATTATTTTGAAAATCAATTATTATGAAACTTTTTTCCCACTGGGTGGAAGTATGGATCAGAATATCAATTGCCTAAGGGAAGAAGGATGAGATTATTCAAAAGGGTTGATCACATGCACCGCTTAATGTTCATTTCCGTGAAAGAGAACTGTGAGTACTTAACATCCAAGGGGATCTTGGGGTGGGGGGTGGGAATGCAATGGTGCATTTGCACCTCCCTTTGGTTCCTGGTCCACCCAAAGTTTAAAATCAACTGCCTGGCAGTGGCATCAGCATTTCTAGTCAGGCAGTACCAAGGGAGTCATTTGATTTTGTGGCTCATTAGAATCTACCTGATTCCTTTTAAACTCTTTAATCCACAGGTGTTAATGACTCTCTCTTCTTTTTAATGGTCTTGATGTTCCACCAGTCAAGCTATCCTTTGTTTTGCAATTATGAGGCTCATGTACACACCATGATTTTTGCCCTTTCATGTGGTGCAACTGCATGTCTGTTTGCATGAGCAGGATTTCCTGACACTTTAAAAGTCTTGTGCATTAAACTAAAACTCCTCAAACATAGTTTAGTTTGGCTCACTGGGAATTAAAGCATTGCATCCGTGGATTCATTGCGTGCAAACACAAAGGCACTCAAAGAGGAGTAATGAGCCTCTTTGTCCACCAGATAGCGCTGCAACTTTTTTGTAGTTCACTCCTTTGAATTGCTTTTGCATTTGAATGGCTTCTGCTTTTTTTTTCTTGTGTGGTTTGCCAGCTCCCTGCTTCCACAGCTACATGGCAGGGCACAGGCATAGGGTGGGTGGGGAGCCCTGGGCTGTGGGGGCAGTGCTGGACCATCCTACTCTCCTGCAAAGCCAGCGAGGGACACAGCTTAATTCATTTGAAAACCTAGTGCATATAAGCACAGATGCAACACTTCAAGGCTTAATTTGTTTGAAAACCTAGTGGGTGTGAACACAGATGCGACGC